TAAATGGATTGTTGTCACTTTTTGTATAAAATTCTGATGCCATTTTTATTATTTATTTGATTTTTGGTGGACCAAATTCAAAATTGGTAAATTTACTTTTCAAAAATAATAATTTTTTTGCCCCACCAGTACTTTAAACTGAGTTTTTCCTGTTCCTGAAATTGTTTAGGGGGTTTATCTACTGTGTGTAAGATATTCATTTTAAAAGTTGCATCAAATCTCTTTATTTTCCTCGATAGTTTTACTCACTGGGGAAAAGTTTGTGGAAAATAAATTTTCTAGATTTCTTGCACCAGGTTTGAACAAAACCAATAAGAAACTTTAAAGTCTATATTTTGTTTTTATATTTAAACTAATACAACATGGGGACTTATTGCAGCAAAATGGCTGTAAAATATTCCTCATATTTCCTGAATTTATTGTAACTGTCAAAAGTTTAATTCATTAATTAGATGCTAATAATAAGTCCTGAAAATCCCAATAAGAAAAGGTGGAATATTTGGTTTTGTTTTCATATTGGAAACTCTGAGCCTCTCTGATGGATCATGTTCCAAGCTGAGCGTTATATCCTTAAAAACAGACGTTATAAATCCCAGCAGGATCGGCTGCAGCCACCAGGATTTAGCCTGATCCAATTGGCTTCAGGAATCAGATATGACCAAAGTAAAAGGATCTGAACAGATTTTAGAAAGCGAATGCCGACATTTTAAACCTGAATGCCTCAGAAAAGTATCCATAAATCCAACACTTTGCAACCAGAATCTTATATTAATTATACTGAAATTTGACTGGATAGACCAAAATAAAAGTTGTGAAATTTAAAAACGGCAGCAGAACTTAATATAAAACTAATGAAAACAATTTCTCTCCATCCAATGTGACTCAGGTTGAACTATTCAAGAGGAATATGAAGCAATTTCAATAAAATATGGTTTTATGAAGAAATGTAAATGTACACCACACTTTTCAGATCTTTTTTTTTTTGTAAATCAAAAGAACTTTGCAATTACTTTGTGCTTTGTGGTACAAATACTTTGAAATTGGTGGTTATAAAATGACAAAAAGTGGAAAAGTTTGCATGACTCACATCCTCTAACTATGAAACTGAGGGAAAAGCGACAGTAATAAACACAGAAATGAACACAAAGGGAAAATAACCAAAAATGAAAGACTAATGCTAAGATAGAAACCTAATCAAACAAGCAAAGAGCTGAACAAAAGAAAGAACGTAAAAAACTAAACACTAAAAACCGAAGTATGGAAAACCATTATGGACTAAATTAACAGTTAAACGTTGAAACTAATGACAGGAAGAGACAATGAAGTATGGCTTTGAAGTACACCGCCCCCTGTAGGTGTGGTGTATTTAAAACAACACTCAGTGGTGCATTTCAGCGGGTTTGTGTGGATTTGTTTTTCATAGATTTTCTCAAGCTGATCCTGTGAGTATGATGTTATTTTTTCAAACGATTTGGCGAAGATATTTGTTTTTATAAAGACTACATTAAGTCTTTATAAGGCTAAAAGGCCTTACTGGTACAAATCTGAGCTTTTATGTGGATAGAAGTCCAAAACGCATGAAAATTTATTTGTTTTCCCAGACATCTGGCCACATGTGGACTAGTCAAAGTCCAAACCTGAGGGTAATTAAATTATTTATTGAAATTGTCAGTATGTCGTGACAGTAAAGTATGAGATAATCCATCAAAAAAACCGAGTTCCTCTGCCTTCTGCCAGTACTCCCAGTACTAACTAGACACAACCAATCAGAACCAGGAGGCGGGTCTTAGCGCTGTCAATCAGGGCTCTGTGCACACTCTGCTGCAGTGCAGCTTCTCCCTGTCATCTGAGCTTGTTCTGAATGCTAAGGCTAGTTAGCATAGCCACTAATCATGGTTTTCTTGTAACTGCAAGTTGTTTTTCCACCATTAGCACACTTAGCAGCGCCTTCGCAAGGTTGATTGACAGCGCTGAGACCCTCCTCCTGGTTCTCATTGGTTGTTTTTGGTGCTTTTCTTCAGATGACAATAGAAGCTCAGGGAGGACATGGAGGAGACCGATTTTTTCACAGATTACGTTTTAACAAATTTGTAAAACAAAATCTCTAAGAAAGAAAAATAACAATATTTTGAATTAGCCTTTTCCCCTGATGGGATGGTTATCCTCCCTGTTAGTGAACTGAATGCATCCAGTCACTGTTGGGACTCGGTGTATCGTCGCTGTCATGTTTTATTTTTTATTTTCAGCTCATTAGCCTCGCTGCACGACTTCACGACGCTGCTGCAGAGCCGAAGTGACGGCTGCAAACGAGCCTCTAGCGAAACGCTTATAGTCCGAGTCAGAGGATGGGGGGGAGCAGGGTCAAGGTCGCGAAGGCCTGCGTGCAAACTCAGCTGTTTCAGGTGTTGGGAAGCCGTCACCGTGGCAACAAGGGATGATGTGGAAGCAGAATCAGAAAACGTGTCCTCCTCTGTGAGCTGACAGCCAAAAACAACAAAACAAGACAAAGCAAGAAGAGCCCTCCAGGTTAGCGCGATGTTTCACAGCCTCAGCAGTGAATCATCACATCCAACTGCTTCGTTCTGATTTTAATCAGAGTCAGTAGCAGGAAGGACACAACTTCATCTCTGCAGCCTGCTCCCAACATGCAAACATGGAAAAATGCATGCTGTCTTCAGAAAACACCACTCTGCTTCATCTTTACGTCAGTTTAATGTGACCACTGGAGCATAAACACCAAAATGTCACAGCTCCAACATCCGAAAAAGGTCACAGAGTGTGTGAGAGAAGCGCTCAGTTTAAGGAAGCGGGTCGGTTCTGATCGGAGGGTTTCTGACTCCTAACAATATCTTTGTCAACACTCCTGTTGACTCCAGATCAACTGGAGTCAACAGGACTGTGGAGATCCTGCAGCTCCTCCTAGTGGACACAAAGTCCACTAGGAGGACTAGTGGAACAAGCAGAACAAGCCGCCAATTAAAACTACACTGCAAAAATTACAAAATCTTACTATTTTCATCTTGTTTCTATGCAAATACTTGAGTGCATTTTAAAAAAGACAAAACTAACTTACAAGTAAGAGCTTGTTTTAAGCCAATATGATATGTGGAAAATATCTTATAAGTACAATAATCTGCCAGTGGAACTAGTTTCATCAATATTAATAAACTATTGATTTTAAAATATAAAACTTATATGTTAATTTTGAGCTAATGACATTGCAATTAAACAAAATAAACAAAATAGTTTTTGCAATTTTAATAAAAGAAAGAAAATAATCTGAATTTTGTGTTTTGAGTTTTAGCTTGTTAACATGTACCACCCTGTTTTTAGAGGGACCAATAATTAGATAATTGATTTAAGGTTTTTAGGGTTTTCCCATCTAATAGTCCAATAGACTCGGTTCAATTGAGAACAAAAATTTTAACATTTGTTACATTTTCAGCTGCTGTGGTTCGCTTTCACACTGCATTGTCAAACAAACCAAAAACTTTGAAAAAACTATTCCCCTCCTCGCCTGTGGTGGCGCTGCAACAAGAACCACTGAAGGAAATTACACAAAAACCTCTGAAAAATATATGAGTGCATCTTCCTACACCACAAAATATAATCAAAAATGGAGTAGAGTCAGATTTCAGCAGTTGTTTCTCTTTTGCCTTTATTAAAAGACCACAAGCCATTTCTCATGCTAGCACGAGGCTAGCACGTTTGTTTTGGTTGAATTTACCCAGACTGCCCTGCTCTGTAGTCCACTTCCTGCTTTTGGAGTGGTCTCCTTTTAATCCAGTTTTATTGTTTGTAATTGGCTGAGTGCTTCAAACTAGAGGCATAATTAATGTCTAACTGAGCTAAGACGTAGAATGGACGATCAATGCCTTGATACTGTGATAAGTGAGCATCAGAGGAAAAAAGACGAGCCAACCTAACACCTCCTGACCTTCTAGGAATGTCTCTACGGAGGGAAATCAACAAAGGAAAGTCCTCCTCTCCAGTGGATTTGGCTGCTGCATATGCTGCGGTGGATTACACTGATCCAACTTAATGCCCACAGCAGCGCAATCATTCATAACTACAGGAGCTGCTGAGGGCCGAGGATGCTCCCTGGACCATCTGCCGCGGACGGGAGTATTAACTTCAAGGAAGATGGCGTTGAGGTGGGGGTGGAGCCACATACAGACCTGGTGAAACCTCACAGGTTACATCAATAAAGGGCCTTCCTGTTACCAGCGTCTTGGAGTTTGTTTGTATTTTGCTTCAGATTTGTGATAGAGACTAACTAGTTCATGACTCTAAAGTAGAGGGAAAAAGTTAAAATGTTTTGCACATAAAAATCTGAAAAGTGTGGTGTGCATTTGCATTCAGCCGTCTTGTGTAATGAAACCAAAATTGAGTCAGATTGGAACGAATGAGTCACCAATATTCAACTTGTGCAGCAAATTCTGATTTGGGTTCATGTATGTACTTTGACTAGGACATTCAAAAATAAGCATATGCTAAGGGTGTCCGAACCTTTTCTCAAATCAGCCAAAATTGTAAAATCAAAAGGACTTGATGCCCAACAAAATGTTCCCTTACCTACTCATCACTAAATTAAGTATGCAGCACTTTAATTAAACAAATAACATAGTTGGAATTTGTTAAGTCACATTCCATGGGAACTGCGTCATTACCTAGCAACCCAAGCGGAGCTCCAGCATGTTTGGTGAGCTGTATAATGGTTGCTGGAAAAGACAAGTGTTTTATTGTTGATCTACCATTCAGAAACCACTTTCTGCATTTTGGTTGGTTGTGCAGGAGGCTCCACTTCTGCTTTTCAAAGCTGTCTAAAACAGCTCATTCTGGAAAGAACTCAAAATAAGCAGAAATAAGCAGACTAATATTTCTTTATGTAAGAATGATTTTGTATAAAGAAAATGTAATGAACATGTTTTGTATAAACCTAAGCGTGACCTTAAAGGGAAACTAAATCCTTGTGTTCTGTCGCTTTCTTGTCTCCGCAGAGAGTCGAAGCCCTGCCCTCCGACCATCAGGGGAGTCAATCGGACTGCAGGAACAGAACCATCTGCTGCGCTTCCAGTCAGCATCAACATTCCTGTTCTTGGAACTCTGTGCCTTCAACCAAAACTCATCCTGTGTTTTTGGGTTTTTACTCTTCCCTTGGAGCAGCTTTCGGATGATTTTATTTTTTCTTCCTGATGGATGAAGGAGGGCCTGGGAATCGAGTTGCTGTCTGTCTGTGGAAACAAAGAAAAAAAAACAAACACATCCAGGATTTTTATCTTTGGATCATTTTAATGTGTTTCTTTTTTCTACAAATCGTGTCAGTGATTTACTTCCTACTGGAGGAAATCCCTCGCTGTGCAATATAAGTCATATTTCTGTGAAGTTGTCATGTGGATGTAGAATCTGGACAAACATTTTGGTTTATTTTTGTAATAATGTTTTCCTGATTTCTATTTTTCTAAAACAATGTGAGACAGATGAAGGGAAAAAATAAGAACATTTTGAAGGAGAACGGATGCTTGGATGTTGTTTTTCCTCTGATAATCCCCCTTCCAAAGCCATAGCCTATCTCAGATAACAGAGACGATGCATTCAGGGTCACACAGTCTGGGACGGACACATCAGCTCGTCTCAACTGGAGGTACTTTTTAGGTGATGTCTTCTGTAAGTTCAGGCGCCTAAATCTGAAGTGTTTAGTATTCTCTACCTTTGTGTGGCCTGTTCTTCTTGCTGTCCTTTCGTACCTACATATCAATGAGGAAACGGGAAGTCAGAAAAAGGAACAAATTTGTTCTCCAGAAAAGGATGGAAAACACTCTGAGTTCTCAAACAGAGTCTAGGTAACAGGTAAAAATCAAATAAATATCCTCATTACATGTTGAGAAGCTGGAACATGCCCTTAAAGTTCTAGAAAATTAAGAGAACGTAACATGAAATCCTGGCTCTTCCTTTTAAGATACAGTAAAGTAATCAACATTCCCATAGTGAGCAACCTAAAAATCCCATTAAAGTAGCCTGAAAGTGTCAGGAAAGTAATAAGTAAATTCTTGAAATCTGTAGAAAGCACCATTTAAGATTCAAGGAAATTAGCAGTGGTGGGCATTTAGCTTATTTGAAATCGTTTAGCAAATTTACTTACCTCTAAATTCTAAAGAGCTAATTTACTTGGTTGATTTAGTGAACTTTCAGTAGCATAAACTGAATTGATATATGTCTTGATGTTTTGGTTATCGACTGTTAATAATTCTTCAAGTAGTTAGACGTTTATATTCATGCTTTTTTTTAAAGTGAGTGAAGAGTGTTTACACGACAGTTCCATTTCCTCTCCTCATGTTCTCCATCTGTGATGTGGTGCAGCAAATGAGGTTTCTTCTGTACCCAGAATGCACCAAAAACAGTTTAAAATCCACTGATGTCCTGCATGATTTCTGACCGAAGTCCTACCATCAAGTTAGCAAAACTCAACATCTATAAAACTGAAAACATGAGTAAAATATCTGTTCCAAAAAATCACTTCCAGAAATGAAACTGAATAAGTAAGTGTGCAAAATCAAATTTGTCCCCACAGAGGGTGATATGTTGTGTCAACATATTAACATGGTTGAATTTAGCGCTAGCATTAGCTTCTGCTAAATACTATGATGGTAGTACTTCAGCATTAATGTTTATGATTAGTGCTTTAGGTTTAGTGCCATATGGTTGTATGAACAAAAGTTCTTTTTTTTTCATTTTCTGCTTCAGTAGTTATGCTAGTAGTTTTCATTTTGTTCAGATGCAGATTAACCTGCAAAGACAGAAAAGGCATATAAAACATCTGTGCAAACAGCCCTTCACTATGTGGGTCATGTTTCTGCTCATAATGGAACAATACTCGAACTTTATTCAGATAATCTGTAACACGTCTTCCACAGAATGGAAAAAAGGAAGCTTTTTAATCTCATACAACATGATGGAGAAAATTAGGTTTAATTGGCAGCTAACATTATTTTAAAAATCCAAGTAATTTCCATTAAAAGGGCTCTGTTTGAGAATTTCCTCCTGTTCTGTTGCTTAATTGTCTTCTGTTTTCTGCACTTATAAACTGTGCTCCATGTGTCCTTGATGCTGCTATCCATGTCCAGCGTAGATCGATGTTCAGCCTAAGTCCTGGCACAACATCCTCTGTTAGCGCTCCTTATACGTTTTTACTGGATCCATTGATTTGATCATGAAAATCACTGGATCCATAGTAATTCTGGTTCAGTTTGTGCCTCCAGTGAAGCAAATTCAGAGATGTATGTTTATTTTTTGCATAGTATTTTTGGTTTACAAGCAAAGATATCCCTTTGGCACTAAGTGTACATGGGCATTAAAAAGTACAGTAATTTAGTAAACTGCTGCAGAACCTTATGAACATCCATAAACTCAGGGGCCAATGTAATATTATTCACAGTCAGGGCATAAGTTAGAAAAGAAAGCCAAATATATTCAAAACATTCAACATTTTATGTGCTATAAACAAACTTTCATCAACATGCAACTTTGAGGGGTTTTTATTACCTTGTTTTCTTAAGAATATGAAAAGATAGTTTAAAAGCCACCAATTGAGACTGATGCTAATGTGCAAAAGCAAAAACCTCCAAGGACTCAACAGAGGTCCTCCAGAGAGAACTCAGATTACAGAGATTCAGAAACAGGAGAAACCAGAATCCTGGTCCTCTAAAAGCTGGATCCTCTGTAGGCCCAGTCCTTCGTCATGTGGATATATACATGAGCTGTGTGTATATTTCATGTAGAATATATTCAGAATATATAACATATATAACAGACACAAAACAGTGGCAATCAAAGTGATGAAAAATCATGGGTTCAAAGTTCAAAGATGTTACATTTTAAAGATGATTTCTTCATAAGCCTGGCCCTCTAAAGGTTGGATCCCCCAAAGGGCCAGTCCATTGTTATGCCGCTTTATCTTTGAGCTATATTGCCTTGACATAGAGAACATAAGTTACTATATATCACTGCCTAAATCACGCTGAGACTTGTGCATTTTGGGAAATTGGAAGTTCCACAAACTGCCAAATTTGGCTCTGATTTTATACTGCCATGATATAGATCATTAATAAACAGTGAAAGTCAGAGTGGTGGGAACTTAACGGGATGTTTATCAAAACCAGGACATTGGCTTTGATGTTGAGACATGATCATGAGCTGAACCTGATTTCAAGAGATTTATTCTCAAAATGACAAATTCTTCAAAGGTATTGCCTAAAAGATGATGCCTGCAAAAGCTGGGCCCTTCTAGACGAGTCCATCAAACATTGTGCCAAGCACATAGCAGGCTATCCAGTTCCATGGTCCTATGAAGGGCATGTCCCCTGAAGACAGACACTCAAAAAGGCAGGGTTTTTGAAAGTTGATTCCTTAAAAGGTTCGGTTCAGGTCTTTAACCTTCAAAGGACTAGTTCCTCAAAAGATGATTCCAGATCCTTTGAAAAAAGACTCTTTCAAAGACCCGATCCTTCAGATGACAGATCCTCCAACAGATGGATTCTCAGAAAGATATTTCCAAAAGCTTGGAGGTCTTCTGAAGGATGGGTCTTTCTTTTTTAACATGTCCTGTCTTTGGCATATCAGGGATACCATATAGAGAAGATAGATGTCTATGTGCCAGGGAAAATTCGCTCTACACATAGAATATCCTAAGATGGCATTTTAATTGCATGATTAACTTTAAGAAAATCCAGACTGCATCAAGCATCAAGGAGGGCCACTAATCATATTGATGTGATAGTAACCTGTGTAATCTAGTGACATGGCTTTCAACCATCTGGATTATATTTGTGTCTGTCTGTGTATGTGGGTGGGTGTATGTGTACAAATAATTTGTGTTGAGTTGGTGAATGTGAACATACCATCTGAACCCAGAGGGACCAGGCCAGGAAGGAACATCACTGTCCCCCCTGGTGAGCTATTCCCTAAGAGGTCAAGAGGGAAGAATGTCCACCAGTGTCCTGAGTGGGCCCTGTGGACCATGGCTGGAATGTCACATTCTCTGGAACCATAGCCCACCCAGCAGGAACCCACCACTATGGGTGAGACCCACACAAGCAAGTCCTCCCAGCCTCATTGGTGCTGTCAGAGATCTCAGGCCATTCCTACATCCCCACCCAACACCAAATTAGCATGGGCACTTGGGCAGGTGCAGAAAAGATTGTCTACGGTGCAATAAAATTGGGGTTGTGGCTGAAGTGTGTGAGACTCCACTACTTGCTGACATCAGAGTCTCCCCATTGTCTGTAGTGTACTAAAATAGAGTTGCAGGATGGGGTCAAACATTGTAGAGAGGGAAACACTACCAATGCTTGCAAGACTCATCCCTCCTGAAGTATGGTATTGAGAGAAGATGCTGGTACAAGTCCCAGTGGGAGATGGGTCCTTCAAAGGACATATCCTCCTCCTGACACCCCGTCCATGAAATGAGTTATTAGAAGGTCAGAAAGTCATAACCCTGACCTGTGAAAAATCCAATAAATATTAAGCTCTGTGAGGGGTGGTGCCTCTGAAGACCTTCAAGAGCCAATAGCCAGTTGTAAGTTGAACTGATGATGTACTTTTGCTGCAAAAACTCCTTAGTGGGCTATGCTTTTATTTTGACCCCTGGCTCTGCAACACATGCAGCAGTTTCATGAAATCCAGAGTCTAAAGATAAAGCCTTGATATTTACCTGTAGATGTCCTGTGTTGTATCACATTTAGACACAAAATGAAAAAATTCCAACAAAAACATTTTAGTTTGGGTGATATCCATCTACAGGTGTTGGAGAAATCTGCTTCACTGCACACTTTCTGTCGTCATACTAAAACAAACCTTAAGAGGCACAAACAGGTGGATCCAAGAACTTGGCTGCTTCTAAAGATATATTTTCAGAGTTTGTAGACTCACCTGCTCAGTGTACATTTCCTTCTGCATGAATTTATGTGGATCCGTCCTCAACGTTCAGGTCCACCTGAAGATGTTGTGTTCGGCCTTCAGTGGTTTTTCATCTTCCTTGTGGAGTCGGCAAACTGCAGATCAGTTTCACTGACATCCCTCCTGAAAACAAAGCTGCCAAACTTCTCTGAAGAAGCCAAACGTCTCTGTGTGCATCAGTGGTTTTAAGTGTTTCACATCATCCTGTTAATGTTTCATCGTGTTAACTGCAACAATCCTGTTTGTTACGTTGTTGGTCATATATGCAGAAGAGTTATCAAATAAACTGAAATAAACTCTTAAGACTCACTGAGAAAGAGTGAGCTTCTTTATTCCGCCACCAGATGGCGCCAAAAATCACCTTTATTTAAAATCAGGCTCCAAAGGAAAACATGTTATAAAAGCTCTTTAATTTAGCATCAATAAGCAAAAAGAATCTTGTCGTGCTATTTGTATCAGACTCATTCAATTAAGAAAATATGTTTTTGTCTTTGAATAACTGATAAAAATCCCAAATGACACACGTTTGTGTTTTTTTGTAATGGGTTTGTTGATTTGGTTTACATCTCATGAAGCTGGTAAATAAATATAAACAATTATAAAGTATATAATCATATTTAGTAGTTACAGATGGACGCTGCAGTTTATTTCTAGGATGTAATGATCATGAAACATACAACTTGAATTTATTGCGTATTTTTATTGTGCATTACATAAAACCGTGACAGATGCAAGTTTTTCAAGGTAACATGGGATAAGATTAGAGAAACTATGTTTATTGAAAGGATTTCCAGAAAATATTTATGATTTTAAACAGAAAATGATTAAAGAGCAAAGAAAAAAATCAAAGATGATTTCATGATGTCTGTCTGCGTCTGGTCAGGTAGAAATGGGCGACTTTGTGATGTCACTACTTCGCAGGATCAACTTTCTTCACTCCAGTGATTGAATCTCCAATACTCTTAAGTTTGTTACCGAGCCACTCTTTACGGCAAAAACTGTAGGTACATTTTATCGTCAATTTACTCCTGAAAAAAGAACACATCAAGAATCAGTGTTATTCTCTGTACTAAAAAATATATGCTATGTAAATTCAAAGAAACTTTAATCAGAAGCAACTTCTGGATGTCAGGTTATCTTCTAGTTGTGTGATTTAAGATAATCCTGATTAATCAACTCAATTCCTCTTTGATTTTCAGAATCTATTCAAATGTATGTGAAAATGACATAAATCATGTCAGGAAACCAATCACAATCTGAGCAAAGAGAAAATACTCAGTGTCCTTCACCAATTACTTTCTGATTTATTGATTTTGAATATTGCAAAGAGCTCCAGTTTGTAACAAGCTGTTTATGGTTAGCATCGGGATCAAAACTCTTTCAGATATATTAGAATGGTGGATTATTTTTGCTTTTGCAAAGATTTATTGATACCCACACAGTTAAACATTACAGCATAACATACAGATTAATAATTTTTCTTCAAAATAAAACAATTTCTTCAGTAAAATTAAACTGAAAGAAGATAACTACATTAAACATTTCTGCATGTATTAGGGTGGTGTGTTACAGAAACTTAAATATGCTTCACTTGCCTTTTGAACAGCCATTAGCTACTGCTAACTGTGTTAGCTCTAGTTTACGGTGGTAGCTGTGGCAAATATAATAAACAAGCTGATCACATTTGTTTGTTTAAGACATTTCATGTATAACAGCAAAACTTTGATGGAGTTTGTCTCAATCCAGATGTTTTGCAGGTGTAAAGGTAATGATTAAGATCACAAAAGAGTACAGAAGTCCATGCAGGACAGGTGAGCAATGATGCTGGGAACATATTATCACTACTCACCTGACTGTGAGTAGTGATAAGCTAGATTCTGTTATTTGATAAATCTAAACTATTAAAGACCAAACATTGAGTACCTCAAGGCACTGTTCTCAAATCACTCCAAAATACAGACGTAGATGAAACGCAGCTGTTTATTTTTTTGACACCCCATAACCTAAACTCAAAGGCAGATAACTTGGTGTAGAAATGAATTTAAAAGTAAGTTTTAGCAGCAAATGTTTTTATTACAGTCATAAAACCCTCTGCAACGTCAACATGACTCACACAGGGTAGTTTGCAAAATTTGGAGGACGTTGAGGATTCTCAGGAGAGTTCATGTCGTCCTCCGTGAGTTTGGATTCACTGCAGACAGAAAACAACAACAAAAAATGCCTCATCTGACCTGTCAGAGCAGCAGAACTGCAGAGATAAACCGAGGCTGATTGAGGTTGAACCTCACCTGGGGACCTCAGGTGGAGCAGGAAAAGGTCCAGCGGATGTAAAAGCAGCCATCATCATCATCATCATCACGAGGAACAGCATCATGGTGGGAAGCAGAGTGACAGTCTGATGCAGCTCCAGCCAACTGAAGAGATTTATACTCCCTCCAGCAGATCTGAGGTCAATTTTGTGTTGTTTATGCAGGGGCGGAGCTTCAGGGGGGTCTGGGAGGGTGACACACCCCAGCCCGGGCCTTGAGGACTTCAGGGATCCAAGCCACTGTCATCGAGCCCTCTCCTGATGAGCACAGTGCATATAGGGGTTATGTAGGTTAGGGTTATTAGAGTTATTGTAGATTGTAATGACTGTAGGCATATATTGTACTGTCTGCTGGTATGAAAGATCTCTTATTGTAGTCTGTAGTACAGTAAATCTGAGGAAGCCTCTGACTGAAGATGCTCCGTCTTCTCATGAATAGGGTGTTCTGGGTTCCCCATAATTTTCTTGATCCTGTGAAGAGTCCTTATTTGCATAATCATCTCCAGAGGTTCCACCATCGTCCCCAGAATAGAACCAGCCTTCTTTATCAGGCTGTTGAGCCAAGCTGTTCTGACTGAGAACAGCTTGTATTTTCTGATACTATGTATCTGATGTTGCTTTTCAGTGTTTATACGCCACCAACATCCTGTAGAAACCAGTTAAAACCGGTTCTGTACGTGACAAATGGGTGCACCGCACTAGAGGGAGCGGTATTTCTTATGTATTTTCTGAATTTACTAACAACTGTTTCTATGTGCAAATGATCATGTCCAGAGGTTCCACAGTCGTCCCCAGAACAGAACCAGCCTTCTTTAACAGGCTGTTGAGCCTTTTCACATCCCTGATGCTGCTGCCCCAACAGATGACGGCAGAACAGTTGACGCTCTCAACAACCGACTTATAGAAGATCTGTAGCATCTTGCTGCAAACCTTGAAGGATCTTAGCTTCCTCAAGAAGTTCAGTCTGCTCTGTACCTTCTTAAAGACACTTCATTGTTGCATCTCCAGTCCAGTCTGTTGACCAGATGAACACCGAGGTACTCGTATTCCTCAACCACCTCCACTTCTTCTCCCATGATGGAAGTTTGGTTTAATCTAATCCTGTTCCTCCTGAAATTGACAACCATCTCCTTTATTTAGTTCACATTTAAGGTGAGACAATTGTTCCCACACCATGACACAAGGCGTACAGACCAGCTCTCTGTACTCGGCCTCTTGTCCATCTCTGATACACCCAACAACTGTAAAATTATCTGAGTATTTCTGCACATGACAGGAGTTGGACTTGGGCTGGAAGTCTGATGTGTAGAGAGTGAAAAGGAATGGTGAGAATACAGTCCCCTGTGGTGTTCCCGTGTTGCTGACCACCTGGTTAGACACACAGTCCTTCTTCAGTCTCACAAACTGTGGTCTGTTTGTGAGGTAGTCAGGCGATTGTTGAGGCCTCCACCTGTGTCTTCTGGAGTTTCTCACACAGCAAATTTGGCTGAATTGCGTTAAATGCACTGGAGAAATCAAAGAACACAATCCTCACAGCGCTGCCTGCTTTGTCCAAATGGCAGTGGACTTGTTGAAGCAGGTGTATGATGACATCTTCAACTCCAACTTCACAGTGATAAGCAAACTGCAGGGGGTCTTCATATGTTCTTGTCTGCTAATTCAAGTGGGCCAACAGGAGTTTCTCCAGGACCTTCATGATGTGGGTTATCAGGTCAAAAGGTCTATGGTCATTGGTGGCAGATGGGTGAGTTTTCTTGGTACGGGACCAGGCAGGATGTTTTCCATAACAGTGGAACCTTCTCTCAGGTCAGGCTAATGTTGAAGAGGTGATGCTGCTCTGCAGCTTCAGACCTTCAGGACTCTGGGGTGGACACCATCCAGCTGACACCATCCGGACCTGTAAACTTGTTACTGTTCAGTCTCTTCAACTGCCTTTTCTCCCGACTTCTAGATACAGAAATGTGGGAGTACAAACTGTTCCTACTGAGAACAGTTTGTACTTTCTGATACTATATACCTTATGTTGCTTTTCGGTGTTTATACGCCACCAACATCCTGTTAAAACCAGTTAAAACCGGTTCTGTACGTGACGAATGGGGGCACCACACTGGAGGGGCCGCTAAAAAACTTTATTTCTTATGCATTTTCAAAATTTACAAGTAACAACTGTTGCTATGTGTAAATGATATGATCACTAACTGATCACACCTCAAAAAGTTACCACTCTGCCACTAGGATTTGGTTTTTATTGCATCGTTTTTCATTTATTTTGATAAATTTCTTGTCATAAGAATTTTGACTTATTGTTTCCGGGATTGTTTGGTTTACCGTTTTCTCCACTGTTTGTTCAATATGAATGAGTGAGTGTTTTGAGAGAAGAGTGAAGGTCTTTCTTTTCTTTTACCAAAATTTCTGTTCCAGACTAATCACGCAAGTCTTGACATTCTTTATGCAGTAATTCAGTCAATGAAAGTCTGTTTTTGAATTTAGACATTTTTTGTTCAATAGACAATAAGATGACACTCATCTCTCGAGGGCTGGGATCGGATGACAATGTGGGTGAGTTATCCACGCTACTTGGTGTACCTGGGCGGGTTCTTTCAGAGGTTTGAGTTGGAGTGCTTGGTGTGTTCTTGTTTTTCTTCATGGTGCAGGTCCGATCGAAGCAGTTATCAATATATTCCTCTAAGGCTTCCAGAACTTTGAAAAAGTACAAATCTGCATAGAAAAAAAATGTAACTTTTAAAGTTGAATTGCTGGCAACAGGGCTTGTGTGGCACTAGGAAGCTGGTGG